ATCAACTCATCTGCAGCTGTTTCAGTGTTCTCTCTTTGCTGGGCTGAATTGTCCTTTTGTTCGTGCCATTGTCATACTTTTAGAGGTACATATAGTGTTTTGTTATATGATAATGTGTGTGCAAGTGGTAAATTAATAGGGAATGCATATACTCATTCAAGTCAAACACATATGATTGAGAGCCGGTGACCCCTGGCAGCATGAACACATCCGCAACATATGTCTGCACGATTGAAACATGAGGGTCATCCCCCCTCCAACTAATGCAATGCCCTATAAAGTGAAAAGGGCGGTCGGAGTCACAAGTAACTGTAGGATTAAGCCCAAGAAGACTTACGATGACACTCATCCTGACAGGAACGGCCCTATCGGCACCATGATCGTCCCATGGACCATAAATGGCAGCCTGAACTCTGGCTCCCCGACGTTCCCATTCTTCCACTTGAAGTAGATATAGATCTTGTCCATGAATCGGGCATTCATTTGAGAGCAGATTGCGAGGCCGATCCCGAGAGTGAAGTAGTGCAGACCCTGAATGCTGGGTCCCTCGTTATAGACGTGGGCGATGAAGGAAGGCATGGTAGTAAGAAACACTGCCCGTTGGATACAAGTTAGAGGATGTGTTTTAGAAACGAGGAATGAGGGTTTATGATAGAAAATGTTGAAGATGAAGGCCATGTATAGTCTAAGAAGCTGTATAATTCACTCACTTGCAAAAACTTTAAATGGTCGAATGAGGGCTTTCGAGAACACATGTTGCCAACTATGTGGAAGAGGTCAGGAGAACTAAACCAAGGTCCGAAAAGTAGATGATTGAAGGCACACATTTGGTTGTTATCGTTATCAAAGGCTCCTTTCGAGAAGCAATGGAGCATAGGCTATCAGGGGGTAAGATACCATAACGGAAGGAGGGGAAGCAACACTTACTTTCTTGCAAAAAGAAGAAACCAGATATTTGGACAATGGTGTCTGCCACACTTGTTGCCCAAAACTGCATTGATGAGTTTGTCAGCA